ATGAAGATGAAGACAACTAGTTTGATTTACTTCATCTTCAACGTCGTCGCCATTGGCCACCATCACACCATCCCTTCCCCCCAAAATACACATTCATCTGAGTTGGCCTTCCGTTCTACACACACAATCTCTGGCAATCTCCTATCCTCCCGACGGCTTCTCCTATCCCACAGACACCATCTTCGTCGTCTTATTCCCTTTCCCCTTCATATTCGAAAACGTGATGCACAAAAATCGAGGTTGTAAGTCGTAACAACCATCAAAAGGTGATGTACAGTAACAAAAATGTGTTGGCTTTTCGACGTTGATCTTCTATAAACGTGATGCACAGTTTGATTTGTCAACTATGATGCATCATTTCCTTCATCTCGAACCCTAACCCTAACAAAACCTTAAATTTGGAGTTTTTTTTCCTATTATTATTTAGATTTAGGTTCATAAGTTTTAGGATTTTGATATTTTTTGTCACAAATTCTTAAATGAATTGAACAAATGTCTAGTTTATATCCTTGATAGTTGATTATTTATGTCTTCCTGATGATTTATGTGTTTTGTGCTTCTGTTCTTGAAGGTGAGTATATAATTTATTTTTATTCTGGAATGTAAAAAGATGAAAATACCATTTGAGTTATCGAACCTATTTTGACAGAAGTTAGTCTGAGGGATCAAAAGTGAAACAAAATGACAACCACAATGATCAAAACTGTAATCAGTTCAAAAGAAAGACGAGAGCTGATAATAGGTGACAACCATAAGGAACAAAAAGTGTAATTTACACCAAGTGTTATATACTAAAAAAAACTATGAAGTATATGTCCATGTCTTCGTGGTTTGCATTTTGTTAGCTTGGGTCTTAGATCTAATGACCGTTAAGAGAAAACGTTAAGTTCCCTCACGTGAAGATATTTTGGTCATTTTTCTTTGTATTTGTAAAATAATTTCTATTGTACAAGTATTTAAAGGTTGATTACAAGTGTTTAAAGCTTTACAGAAAAAAAAATAGAAAATGTATCCTAAGAAATCATCATCAAGAACATCAATCCAAAATATGTTTAAAACACAAACTGCAATAGAAGTAAAAGTCCATTACAATTAGATCCCTCGAGCTCAACCCATTCATCTATCTAAACAGAAGAAGCAAAATCAGAAACCTAATCTACTGATAGTTTAAGCCTAACCTACTGATATGTGTTTAACTGAACCTTGGGTACTTGTTGATTTTGGTGTAGAGAACGAAAACCCTTTTTGTGATGCCTTTAACTTTGAGATGTTGGTCGAGTTTCGAACATATAGTAGTGGTGTTAATTGAGGTTTAATCGAGAGATCAGAAAAGGGATGATCTAAAGAAACTGTTGAAAACAATCATTTTTTGAGAGTTCTTCAAATCATCTCTCTCTTACTTTCTTCATTTTAGAGAAGGTTTTAAAGAAACTGTTGAAAACAAATCTTCAAAATCTCTATTTTAAAGAATCTGTTGAAAATGTTCATGAAATTTATAGTTACGGACTCATGACATCTACGAATATAAAAGATATCACTGAAAGCAATCTCTGATCTGAAATTGACTTATACTTAGAAAGAATATGCCCTTAAAATAAGCATATAACATAATAATAAATTGCCAAAAGTAGGTTTGAGTTAGACCACCATGTACATGTTTAATTAATTGGGATTGTTACCCTTCCGGTGCAATAAACTGCTATTATAAATGTCACCATTATCCAAAGTTGATAATAATTATAAAAATCAATATAATTCTAATGATATTTAAAATATAGAGGTTACCATTTTGACTTCCATTTTTTTAGTGTAATAATGTTGATTTATATAAGGGTAGTGTTTGATTGGTTTGAGCTTGGCTCCAAAGGTCAAAAGTACCAGGAAGTCTCAGGTTCAAATCCAAGGAAAAATAAAAATCTTCTTGTGGCCATGGAGGTTAAAATGCGGTGACTTCAGGCTATCTGCAAAGCAAGTGGTCACCATAGGATTAGTCAGCTCGCATAGCGGGTTGGATATGCAGGTTAATCAAAAAAAAATTATAGTTATTCTTGTCTTTTAAGTTCCATATATTGAAGTAAAGGTTTTATTGTGCTAATTTCAATTTGAAAAAAAAAATCGAAAAAGAAGGAAGCATTAGGTTTTATCCTTCTAATATTCTATATTTTATAATTCAGGGTTTTGATTTTTATGTCCCTTCTTTGTATTTCTTTCTATTATAATTAATAAAAAACAACGTATGGATGAGTCACCTAACTTGACAAGGTTCCAAACTCTTAAAAAAATCGCATGTTTCGTCCTTCATTTGCTTAAAAGTAGGCATAGAGGCATTTTTTAGCATTTTCGCACAGGGCATCAAAAACTCTAGGACCAGCCTTGCATGACATTTTTGCTCATTTAGGTCATTGCAAGACGTCCATCTCTTTAACTGCTATACTAAAGCTACAGGGACCTCTTTAAGATTTTCCATTGCGTAGTAAAATCGCAGCTCAAATTTGTTCCAATATACTTGTACACTATAAAACTGAATAACATTCCTATTTATAATAAAGCACAATGACACATACATCAGAATCTGAGAGTACCACAGAGGAGGTTTGGATCAAGATCAAGTACAGGTTAAAGTGCATTAGGTACGTGGAACAAAACAAGACAAGACAAAAAAAATCCCCCATGTTTGACACGACGTTAAATTGGGACATAACTGTGTCGAGTGAGACAAAAGTGTATTTTTTTTTGTCCTACCAAAATAGGTGGAGAAAAAATTTGAAAGATGAGACAAGATTGATGAATTACCAAACTACTACTGATGGCAAATTAGAATCCTAAAATATTTCACAGTATTTTGACATGTCCACCTCACTCTTGTCCATGTCCTCTCTAGTCACGTCCAGTTTTGTCCGCGTACCAAACGCACTCTTACAGTTCTTTGAGATGCTTCCTTGGAACTTGATTTGTCGCTCCTGTTGCCGCACCTTGTATGAACTCCGCACCTCCACTGGTTAAATCTGTTGATCGGTATCCCATCGTCTTTTCCGAATCTTCAACCCGCTTAAAAAACTCATGTAACAAAACTTTCATATATTTCATAAAATACAACTCTAAGACAAGTAATATAAATGATTTACGACATATATACGATAGTACCTGGTTTTGGCTACGCACCCCCATCGTTTTGGTGGGTTGACTTCTCACCGGTTCTCTATGCAACTACCACACGAGAACGTGTAAAGCACGGTGGTCGAGGGTGCAGATCATAATCGTAACTTATCGTTCTGTTTTAACTTAAAAGGAAAAAAAAAGATTTAAAAAATTACCTGACCTTGAGGTTGATCGGCAGTGCTTTGGCCATCCGTGTTAAGCGAAGTGTCTTGATTAAATTGAATGTTTGCCATTTTCGTTATTTCACTTTTTTACAGATAATACTAATATCAGTATCGATAACGAATAACGATAATAATAATAAGAAGAAAGATAACGACTGGGAAAAATTTAGACAAATGTGTACTTTATGAAGGGAAAGAAGCGAAAAACATGGAGTGGGCAACAAACGGATGGTGTTAAACTTGGTCAAACCATAGTTTGTTTCGATCTAAACAAAGATTTCTAACATTAAATAATCAAAATGTCAGATAAGAAAATTCGTTGTTTTGAATTTAACTGATCTTGACTGTACATCTGTATACAATTCTTTTCTGATGTTACATTTCGTTGTTTAAGGCTCCCTCCTTCACAATACCATTTTAGTGTGTCGTAATATAAGTATCCAATTTTAAAAGTAAGTTTTTAATTTTTCATTTTACCCTTGATTATGAGACGGATAAAATGTATATTTGTGTGCATGCATAAACCATGGTGGATACGATATTCTAAAAAGAAAGCAATTAAATACTTAATAATCGATTAAGACGCTTCGAAACCAAGATTTCAATTCATTTTGCTCACTCTGATTTTTCTTGTTACATCTTTATCAGATATGTTTTTAGAAAAAATTCTTAATAAAACATAATCCTTAATAAGTTAATAATGTCTAATATTTTATAAATATCACTTCCTTCGTCCCAAAATGAAGCAGGGTTTTAAAACTGAGTAATTATTATATTTTTTAAATAATTAAATAACACATATATTCTTGATAATATAAAGAGAAATTTTTTTCTTTTTCTCTGACGGTAAAATAGGAAAGACAAATTGCATGAAAAAGTAATATACTTTAACTTGATTCCTATTTTAGGTTACGTATTTCCAGAACTTCTGTTTTGGTACCTAAGATGTAAAGTTGTAAACATTTAAGTACTCGAGTAACGGGTACACTAATTTTAGATTAAAAAAGACTAATTTTAGATTTAAAAAATTCATGTTACTAACCACGTCAGCAAATAACACTGAGTTGGAAGCACACCACTTGACACATCAGCGTGATAACCGGTTAATGCTTCAATCTATTACATGGGTGCTTAAATGTTTAAAATTTTACATCTTAAGTACCAAAATGGTTCAATCTGTTACACGGATACTTAAATATTTAAAATTTTACATCTTAAGTACCAAAATAGATGTTTTGAAAGTACGTTACCTAAAATAAAAATCAATTTAAAGTATGTTACATTTTCATGCAATTTACCAAAATAAAAAATATAAACTTACTTTTGAAACTGTATATTTATTTTAGGATAAAATAAAATAAAAATGCGATAGAAGGAATATAATATTTATTTTGTAAAATATTATAATATTAAAATTTAATAATTTTAACATTACGTTTATAAGATTTATTACAAAAAGAATCGTTCTTTTTATATAATAAAAAATTTGCAAAAAAAAAAGAAACAATTTTGGATTTTCTTTTTTTAAAGTAAAAGCGATAACCTTAAAGAAGGTTTCGCGTCGCCACGTAGCCTTACACGCGTCTCCCTTAAAGGCCACGTGTCACACATTTAGACCCACATCCATCTTTATAAAATCCTAGCGAACCATGCACCTCTTCCATAAAACAAATCATCTTAGATTCTCACATATCTTCTGAAACAAAACAAGTTCAGTTTTCCGATCAACAAAAACCTCAGTTCCAAAAATGGCGTCACAAGATCAGAAGTTCAGAGCCGGCGAAGCCAAAGGCCAGGCGGAAGAGAAGACCGGTCAGATGATGGGAACAGTGAGAGACAAGGCACAGCAAGGCAAAGACAAGACCTCCGGCATGGCGGAATCCGGCTGGGAACGGACCAAAGAGACGACGGACCAGACCGGAAGCTACGTGTCGGACAAGGCCGGAGCCGCGAGGGATAAGGCGTCGCAGATGGGTCAAGCCACGAAGGACAAGGCGTCGCAGATGGGTCAAGCCACGAAGGACAAGGCGTCGAATATGGCGCAGTCGACTAAAGAAACTACACAGGCCGGAAAAGAGAAGACCGGCGGCGTGATGCAGAGGACCGGGGAGCAAGTGAAGAGTATGGCTCAAGGGGCGGCAGATGCAGTGAAGCATACGTTTGGAATGGGGGAGGCTGGCGCGGGTCATGAGGAGGAGAGTGGTGGTGGTGGTTTGGGTACTACTACCACCACCACCACCAGGAGGACTAACTACTAGAGGTTGAACTTGAAGTGTTGGGGCTTCCTTTATGTGTTGTATGTTCAATTTCTTGTTGTGGTGTTTGTTTTAAAGTTGAGTTTTGTCGATGGGTTCTTTTTAGGATCCGATTGGCGTCGGCGAGGAGGGATGGTTTTTATGTTCCCTTTTGTGTCTTGTGTCTTGTGTCTTGTGTTAGTTTGATGGCTTTCGTGCCCTCAAATGCTACATTGCAAATAAAGTGACGATTTCGTTTTAGATTCTTGTTTCTTTGGTTTGTGAATGTGTCTGAATCTCTCTTATCTTCTAGTTCAAAAGATAATTAAGATAAGGTTCTGTAAAGCCACTACCGATTACGATTAGTCGACACACATAACAAGCTCATCCAGGCTTCAGGCTTATTAATTAAGCCCAAGACGGGAGAACCGCCTCGGGCGGTCTAACCTTGCAAGAACACGATATCCAACTTCAGCCAACCTACCTACAAAATAGACAGAAATCATGCACTGAATAACGGTGAGCAACAGCCATCAACTCGTAGGGATGGAAAGTGTTTAGTAACCGCTTTAATGGATACCAGGGAGACATTACTGTCGAATAACCCTAAAATTATTCATGGGATTGGGTTGAAAAATCTTAAGTTGAAACCAACTTATTACCACCCCTACTTAAAATCTCGAACTCTAAAGTTATTCATGACCCGGTGTCCAACTCCCAAGGCCCTTAAAATCTCGAACCTTGAATATCAAAATGTTTTATTTAAAATTAAAGAAGCATTTCATAAATATCAAAATCTGAACATATATCAACCACTAACTTGGTCACATCTCTTTGCTAAAACTGATAATACAACAATTTTAATGAAAAAACATCAAAAATACCATAAATATGATTAATACAAGATTCAAAAATCATTTATGAGCGCATTTGAGCTCATAAATTATACGAAACAGTTCCACTCAGGTTCCTACATGTATACAGGTTCAAAACCCGTTACTTTTAGTCAGCCATGCCATCACTTCCTTCAAGATCACTAACATTACTAACAGCTTCCAGTTCTTCGTTATCTTCTTCATCGGTTTCCATGTTATCACCGTCTTCTTCAGACCCGTCTTCATCTTCATCGCTCACATCTTCAAAAATAATCGGCTCCAATGGCCCTTCTCCTTCATCAACTCCGTCATCGAGAGTCTGAAAACAAAGAACACAAGAAACGGTATGGATTAATGGTGTGAAGACGTATTCGCAGATCATCTCGGTTTGCATGATTGCTTACCTTGGTGTAAAGCAAATCTAGGCAACTAGATAGTTGATGGGCAGGATTGAAGGTGGAAATTCGAGATTCGATAAGCTGCAAAAGCAATCAAATTGATATCGTTATCATCATCCGCACTACATATGTAGCAACTCGCCTTATAAGAATAGAAAACGAGATTTATGAGCTATTTATAAGTAATCCCCAGGTTGCGGGTTACCAATAACTCTCCCCATAGTTTTAAGTCACGGTATAAAGTCCAAGGACAAAAAAGAAACTCATTAAGATGGGACCGTTTGGTTTAAGGGAATGTTTTGAGAGATTTAGATTTCGATTTAGGATTTTTTGTTTGTAGGATTTGGAATGGAATTGAATTCTATTCTTTATAAATAGTTTATAAAAAAATAACTAAATTACTTTTTTATTAATTGATTATTAAACAATAAGTGTTTCTAATATATTTTAAAACATTATTAAAAACAAATCTTATGAGATCCCGTGAAATACCAACTATCTCGTGTGATTTCTAACTGCCGTGTTTGTGGGATTTCAGTTCCAGACTTCCATTCAAATCAAATCAATCACGGAATTTGAATGGAATCCAATTCCAAATCCCACAAACCAAATTGGTCGAAGTGCATTTCAAACTAAATGCATTCACTTGAGATGAAAAGACGTTGGTTTTTCGCTTGCGGAAGTCAAGCATGGACTTTTCTTTTTTGAAGTACATAATATTTATATACAGAAAATACTCGCACACTCACATGTCGTAAGATTTGAACCTTTTGACCTTTTGGGAGTCTGGGTTCTACTACTAGCAACCCGGATACTGTTGGGCCAATGACCCCTTCAGTAAGCACGGACTCTTGTTGGAGAATATAATGAATGATAATCGTTACCTGATACAACGAGTTGAGGGCAATTAAAGATGATTCTTGAGACATTATGCTGCTAGAATGTTGAAGAAGTAAGCTTTTAAGCCATGGGAGAGCACACGCTATAACCGCACCCCTGTTGCCACAACGTAAAATATAAAATCAATAATTCACGGTTGCAATTTTCAAGATTTTGAAGAAGGCCAGAAACTTTAGATCCCACCTGGATTGGATCATAGATATGAGAGACTCAAGAAGCTTGAAGACCTCCGATGGATTCAAGAGGTAAACCGAGTTTCTAATAACCTACAAATGGAAAACAATCTTGTGAATACATCTTTCGGAATTGTCGGATTGTTATTTGATCATTAAAAACCAAACCAAAAGAACGAACCCAGTATGTCCCACCTAAAGCGGGGTCTGGGAGGGTGAGATGTACGCAGACCCAACCTCTACCCAAAAGAGTGTAATTGGTAGTTTCTATGAGGACCCTCTTTTGAAATTGTTGGAATGTTATTTGACACTTCAGAACAAAACCAAATGAACCCTGCATATCCCACCTGAGGTGGGGCCTGCGGAGAGTATAAGGATTTATTTGGCTGGTTTTTCATTAAGTTCTTTATGGATAAAGCTGACTGTGTGAATTAATCCGTCTGTATAGATTGGGAGGGTTTTTTATAGATGAAAGGAGCGTCTTTTTTAATTGGGAGGGTCAGGTTTGGTAAAAACTTGGGCTTTCTGCATAAATCTCCCTACTAGAAGCTTACTGAATAAGCCACGTTATATATCATTAAGCCACTACCAAATAGTCATATATAGCTGATCGAATAAGTCTCATTAAGCTGTTAACAAACATGCCCTAAGATGTTAAGGAGCTAACCTCTACCCTAAAGAGTAAAGCAATTGTTTCCATGAAGACCATAGACATAAATCAGAAATGTTATGCTATCAAATATTACCTTCTCGTCTTGTCTAAATAAGCAATCAAGAAGAAGGGACCGATCATCTGCATGAAGTGCTTGTTTAAGCAGTACATGAACAGAGTCTGCACTAGGAGGTTTTGCAGGAGAACTCTCGGCTTTCTCTTCGCTTTCACCTTCATTTTTGGTTATATTTAAGCTAGCCAATTTCTCACCCATAGTCGGCTCATCAATATCGTTATCAATTTGAACTCCATCCATAGGATCTCCGTGATCTATATAGCAATGCAAACGAATTAAATGTTTCAGAAAAACCAGAAACACGGAAAGGTTGCAGCTAATTAGAAGTTTGGCCAACTAATTTCGAGTATAAGAAATGACAATGAGATATCTGTAAGGAAAATCTATCTTTTTGGTTACCGTTATCCGATTTTACCACTGCATTCCCAGAGTCTGCATCGGATGCAGTTCGTTTCTTGCCTCTTACATCTTTTTTATCTGTAAAAAAGCCAGCATAGTTAAGCCATAAGGACAATACGAAAACGAAGTGATTAGCAACACATTCAAACTAATCACTACAACAAAATCGGTTTTATAGGACGCCAAATATGTCTAAGGGGCTGTTTGGCAGTTGCTGAATGGTTTGGTGCAGAATGGTTAAGTGGTCAGAATGGTTAAGAGGGTCAGAATGATAAAGTGCTGAATGAAATAATGTTGTTTGGTAACCGTTCTCTGAATGACAACAAATTACCATTTTAACCCCACCAACAAAATTGCACAAAGACCGCCGATAACAGATCCCACAACCACCCCAGTGGAGGAACTTCTGCCACCACCAGCGCCATGTCTAACACCAGGCGAGTCCGGTGAACCATTAGAAGGTGAAACC